AAAAGATGGTGGCCGCGTCTATACAGGATGGAGAGGTCAGTCTCTTGCAACCCCCACCGCCCCCCCGGTTGCCCCCCCCCCCCCCGTCCCCGATTCTCTTCTGCTCTTTCTTCTTCGTTGTGGTGACCCAAAGGGGCGTGGCCCAAAGGCAACACAGTCACATAAGTAAGAAAAGTCCCTTTATTCTCTCCAACTTTGCCCCCAAGTTACCTCCGGTTGGAGAAAACTTCTCCCAGGAACAGCCTTTAAGTGGAGGAAATTCAGTCCAAAAACAAAGTACCTACAAACTGCAAATAAAAATCCACACAACCCACGCTGCAGCAATTAACCGTACAGGGCAGGAGAAGGAATTGCAGACTTGAAAGCACAGCAAAACACACACGCGGTTGGGAAGATGCCAGGAACCCAGATAACCCTCGACAGTAATAGATAACTCACGATTTGCTTCCAACAAGTTGCTGTGAGCAATCTCCCTTTTAAAACACTGTGTTCCCAGCTGCGGCTAATGAAGGGAATCAGGGCCTTTTCCTCCCCCGTAAGCCGTGCAACCCACGTTGCTCCCTTCTCCATTCCTCCCTGCGTGCCCTACGATGAAGAGTGGGTGGGCTTGGGTCTTCCTCCGAATTCCTTCTCCCTTCCTCTGTCTCTCCCCTGCTCTGCCCAGCCGGACTTTGCCCTTCCCCAGTTTCTTCCACACCCACCAGAGCCACCCTCCCGCTCCCTGTCAGCTGCTCGACCTCCCCCTCCGAATCAGATTCCGACAGGGGCATGACATTCGTCCTGACCGTTGGCTGCTCTCTCTTCTCCCGCAGGCAGTTTGGTTTGGCTGCGACGTTGGAAAATGTTTTAACAGCAAGCTAGGCATCAACGATTTGAAGATGTGAGGTTTGGTGCAAGGACGGGGGGGAGCCCATGGGGGGGGAGGGGAGGGGGTTCCCCCTGGACAAGGCTTCCAAGCAGGAGGCCTGGTTCCTCTCACTTTGGGGGTTCGTTGTCTGCACGCAGAGGCCATGGTTTATTTACTTTATGCGTGTATTGTTTTATTAAGCAAATGTATTGGCCAACAACACATTTATTTACGTATTTGTGTCCCTGTTTCTATGATCAACTCAGGTTGGAGAGAGGGAGAGAGAGAAAGAGGCAGACAGAGAGAGAGAGAGAAAGAGAAAGAGAAAGAGAGAGACAGACAGAGGGGGGGGGGAGACAGAGAGAGAGAGACAGAGAGAGAGAGAGAGACAGAGATTGGTCCACATCACCCAGCCGGCTTTTATGTCTAAGGCAGAACTAGAATTCCCACTCTCCTGGGGATTGGGCCAAAGACTCTCAGCTGCTTTGCATGCCTAAGGTGGGGCTAGGACCCACCCTCCCCTGGCGATTGGCCCAAAGTCACCCAGACAACTTTCATGCCTAAAGTGGGACTAGAATTCCCAACCTCCTAGCAATCGGCTCAAAGTCACCTAGCTGGCTTTCATGCCTAAGGCAGAACCAGAACTCACCGTCTCCTGGTGATTAGCCCAAAGTCACCCAGCTGTCTTTCATGCCTAAGGCGGGACTAGAACTCCCAGTCACCTGGCGATTGGCCCTAAACCACCCAGACAACTTTCATGCGTAAGGCGGGATTAGAACTCCCAGTCTCCTGGCAATTGGCCCAAAGTCACCCAGCTGGCTTTCATGTCTAAGGTGGGACTAGAACTCACCGTCTCCTATTTTCTAGCCTAATGTTTTAACCACCAGACCAAACTGGCTCAATGATACTCTGAGCTCATCAGGAAATGCATTTCTTTTTTTTTTTTTAATAAATAGGGAGGATAAAACTTGGGCTGACTTCTTCCTTCAGTCCCGACCAGCAAGGGATTATGGGAGTTGAAGTCCACCTGGAAATCCCAGCCCCATTTGCCACTCCTAATTCAGAAACCTTCTCGGTTGTTTGCAGATACAACCACGAGCTGATGTTCGGGGTGTCCGTCAAGAATATGAAGAAAGACGAGCGGCTGATTTTCGGGGACTCCATGATGACGCACGCCATGGTCATTACAGCCTTCACGAAGAAAGTAAGTTTGCTTGGGTGGGGGAAACGCTTTCCCTGCCTTAAATTTACTTGTCCTGGAGATCGGGAAGGTTTGATTGACTGATTGTGGGCCGTCAAATGGATGTCAGCTCAACTACGACATATATAAGCCTTCTCCGTATGAACATATGAAAACATACAAAGAACGGTTGCAAGAACTGGGCCTGGCTAGTTTAGGGAAGAGAAGGACCAGGGGGGACAGGAGAGCAGCCTTCCAATATCTGAGGGGCTGCCCCAGAGAGGAGGAGGGGGTCAAGCTATTCTCCAAAGCACCAGAAGGCAGGACAAGAAACCATGGATGGAAACTGATCAAGCTCAGAAGCAACCTGGAATTAAGGAGAAACTTCCCAACAGTGAGGACAATTAACCAATGGAACTGCTTGCCACCAGAAATTGTGGATGTTCCTGTTGGAAGTTAAAACCCACCCCTTTCCTAAAAAAAAAAAAAAAGAAATATTTTAGGATATATTAAAAAGGCAGAATATTTCCCCTAAAAGAAGTAAAAACTCAGAGAGGCAGAGTGTCAGTGTGTGCTCCCTTCAAAATCCAAGAAAGAAACACCCAGACTCCATGGATCAGAGCAAAGTTATTCTTTTACTGGAAATTAAAGCGGAAACTACAGATGGAATTCCAAAACTGAGGATTTGGCGCGCAGATCACATATACAAAGGGATAGAATCGTTCCCAGCTCCCAAAGCCCAGAAGTCTCTTCCAATTAAAAGTTCTGAATATGATCACGTGGGCATCTTCAGGTGGGGATGAGGCCTCTGTCCGTTGACCTTGACGTATTTTGATAAAACTTCGCAGCTCTGCAAAAAGGGATAGAAGCTAGCAAGGAAATGAAAAGTTGAAAAGAAGAAATCATACACCCCCTCCTTTTGCTTACCCACAGTAAAGGAATGCAAAACACCTCCAGCTCTCTTCCCCCCACAATTACCCCTCCCCTCGTTGCTAATGACAGCCGAAAGAATTAAGATAGTAGAGAAGATAAAGTAGGTAGGATATGGGAGAGATAAATGAGATAGATAGCAGTTAGGGTACCCGAAGAGATCTTGAGGCTGACACAGAGTCATGCTGGCTGAGGAATTCTGGGAGTTGATGTGCACAGGTCATCAAGTTGTCAAGCTCGGAGAACTCTGGAGAAGAGAACGTACCGGCTGAGGAATTCTGGGAGTTGAAGTCCAGAAGTGGTCAAGGTTGGAAACCTTTTGAGAAGAGGACATGCCAGCTGAGGAAC